ACAATTGCGCGGTCATGCAACACTGTACCCATATGAATTTTTTACCATTTGTTTGAGACAGATAAAGCTTTATTTTGGTGGTATTTATTCACCGCTGGGATTTTTATTTTTTTTGCTATGTAAATGAAAATGTCCAAAAAATTTAAAAAAAAGTGTTTTTCTTATAACATTTTGCAAATAAATAATATTTCATCATAAATCTTGGCCAAAATTTATTCCGTTATCTTTTTAGTAAAAAAAAAAAAAGCCAAATTAGTTTATAACCAAAAATTATAATTTTTTTACTTTTTTACATTTTTTTTTTTTTATATATTTTATTTGATTTTTTTTTTTTTACATACTGTCACCCTAGCAGTAGTGTCACCATGGTGACACTGTACTAAGTTTTGGGGATGATGAATTTTTTTTTTTTTTTTTTTTACACTGATTGCTTTTACACCCATATAGGATGTAAGAGCAATAATTTCTCTTTCTCTCTGCATTGCTGCAGCCATTGAGAACTACTGAGTGAGCTGTGATTGGTCACAGCTTGTCACATGGTACAAGGCTGTTGTGAATAGCCCTGTACCATGTGACCTCTGATCATTCAGATATCACACGTAGTAAGCAATGAGTCAGAAGTGACATCTTGCCTACTACTTTGCATGTGATCACTGATTGGCCAATCAGTGATCACATGAGCGGGACCTCCGGAGGACACAGCGGGCACCGGATCGCTCCCGGGAGCGCGCACAAGCAGGGTGCGGGGAGGCCGTTTATAAACGGCCACCTGACCCCGCAGTGCCACCGTCTGGCCGTTTTATATATAACGGCCGGTCAGGAAGTGGTTAAAAGCAGCTACTGTGTGGAAAGCAGCTACTGTGTTGAAAGCAGCTACTGTGTTGAAAGCAGCTACTGTGTAGAAAGCAGCAGTATTGGAGATAAAATGACACTTCATGAATTATAATTACTGGGTAAATAATTATAGGGTTGGGGGTCACCAAAACATGAGGAACTGTATTAAAGGGTCGCGGCATTAGGAAGGTTGAGAACCAATGGTTTAGGGTTTTTTTTTTTTTTTTTTAAATGAAATGGAAAAACAACAACACAGACCAGTCTCTCCCTTCATAGGGATGTCAAATTACACTTTAATTTTTCAAACACATACATTTTTGCTTTTCATTTGTAGAACTATTCTATGGAAAGGAGTGGGCGACAGCTACCTACCTCTTGTAAACGGCTGGCGTTCGGCCACGGTCACTTACATACAGCGTAGGCTCACGGGGCCCCGGGTTTCCTTTACATAAGAAGTCGTTTGGTACAGGATAGTGCAGCCCAGCATCCGGGATTTTACAATAATTCCTCTCTTTTATACATCTGTACAACTCCGCACACTGAAAAAAAAAATGCCCGTTCTGCGCTCGCGTCCCCCCCCCTTCGCGCTTCCGGGGGAAACAACGCAACGAAGGCTCTAAGTGCAGCAAAGACAAAGCTCTAAATGAAACAGCGAGGACTAGGCGCACAAAATGAAAAATACCGTCTGGGCGCTGGCCGCCAGCGTGCCTCCATCTTGCTATAATCCCTCCACAGCATGCGTCTGTTCTTGTCATGCAAATAAAGATTCTACATTTTCTGCGTAGTTTGTCACCAGAAGTGCGAATATAGCCTAGTTTTTTTGTACAGGACACATATAATTTTTTTTCTTTTTTGTTTTCAGAAAACATTTAAAAAAAAAAAATAATTTTTTTGACATGCCCTCTTGAGAATCTACTTTGAAAAGTCCTTGTAGAGAGTCTAACCCTCCCTCCCCAGGTTCTGTTATTGCGGAGGCTCCGCAGGGGAGGGGTCACTAGAGCGCAGTTCCTGTTGCACAGTCTGTCCAAACAGTGCTCAACACGCTTTCCCTGTGTGGGGGGGGGGGGACCATGGCGTGCTGCTTTCTGTGTTGCTGGAGAATGCTGGAGTTTAGCCATCGGTTGAGGGGGAGGGTCATTCACAGTCCCTGATAGGACGAAAATTTTCATGCCTCTCCAAACCCCCCCCCCACAACTTAGAACTGGTACCACTTCTTGTCCTTGTATTTCAGCATCAGCTGCAAAAGACAGACAGAGACATGAACACATGTAAATGCCAGCAGGCTGGATCTGTACAGAGCTCAATGGCAGAAAGTACACAACAGGGCTAGAGTTCAAAGTGTACACATGACCAGGATTGGTGCTGCCCTAGGCAACACAAAAATCAGCGCCCCCTGCAGAGAGAGCCTGACATTGGCCAACAACACCCCTGCCTCCCACCCGAGAGAGCCTACCACTGCCCCCCATACACCAGCCACCATCCCCCATGGCAAGAGAGAGAGAGACACTCACCTTCACAGCTCTTTACATCCCCAGGAACGAGAGTCAGGCTGTGCATCCACCGTCATGAAACCCGCAGCCTCTCTCGGAACCCACCAGGTCCCCATGCCGCGTGTGTCCCTTCTTCCGAGAAGCAGTGCTGCCCCCCCCCTGAAAAATGCCGCCCTAGGCAAAAGCCTTGTTTGCCTGGTGGTAATTACATTCCTGCACATGGCCCAATATGGCTCCCGCAGAGTTTGTTTGGTACAGACTCCCTCTTTCGTGACCTCTTTTGGAAGTACAGGAACCCTAGAATTTGGTTGTCTACAATACAACTACCTAAAGATGGGGGGGGGGGGGGGGGGGGTAGCAATACCCAATGCCAGATTGTAATTTTTAGCCTCTCAATATTAGCAATGGTATGGTTGGGATAGACTTACTCTACAAAACCCCATTCAGAATGTTATCCTTACATAGTAGTTACATAGTTAGTCTGGCTGAAAAAAAAGACAAAAGTCCATCCAGTTCAACCATTAAAAAAAAAAAGTGATAATCCTACACCCACATTTGTCTGTTACTTTGATGCTGCTTCTGTACCCTGCCAGCTCTAAGACCAAGAACTGAGTGATCGCATGACAGCTGATCTCTCAGTTCTCAATCTTCATTGAGCAGAGATCTGCCCCTCCAGTGCTTACTGGAGAAGCAGGCTGTGGGCGGGGCATAAGTGGCTAGCACAGGTGAGAGGTTGAGCTAACTGCCGGTCGGGATCCCTGCACAGCCCGGACCGGCTCTGGGATGTCAGCCGACGGCGAGCTTTAGCATGCTGCCTGCTGAATCTGGGTCACAGGAGTGCAGAAATAAGTGCGCACCTCTGACCCAGAAATGTATGGCTGTAAAAGGTTCTGCCTACTTCTCCTACAATGCATGTTTTCAGCAGCATGAAAAGAGAAGAACTGAGGGGAGTCAACGGTGGAGAAGGATCTGGGGGTTCTGGTAGATCAAAGACCTAATAATGGCAGCAATGCCAAGCTGCGGTTTTTAAAGCTAGCAAGATACTTGTATTAAGAAGTATAAACTCCAGACAGAGAGATATCATCCCCCCCCCCCCCCCGGGTACAAATCATTAGTAACACCTCATCTGGAATATGCAGCTCAGTTTTGGGCACCAATTCACAAAATAGATATCAGAGGACTGGAGAAAGTGCAGAGAAGGGCAACCAAACTGATAAGAGGCATGGAGGAGATCAGCTATGAGGAGAGATTGGAGGAACTGAATGTATTCTCTAATACACAAGGGGGATATGATCTCCATGTATAATACATAAGGGGGGATATGATCTCCATGTATAATACAAAAGGGGGGGGGGGGATATGATCTCCATGTATAATACATAAGGGGGGGATATGATCTCCATGTATAATACATAAGGGGGGGATATGATCTCCATGTATAATACATAAGGGGGGATATGATCTCCATGTATAATACATAAGGGGGGATATGATCTCCATGTATAATACATAAGGGGGGATATGATCTCCATGTATAATACATAAGGGGGGGATATGATCTCCATGTGTAATACATAAGGGGGGGATATGATCTCCATGTGTAATACATAAGGGGGGATATGATCTCCATGTATAATACATAAGGGGGGATATGATCTCCGTGTATAATACATAAGGGGGGATATGATCTCCATGTATAATACATAAGGGGGGATATGATCTCCATGTATAATACATAAGGGGGGGATATGATCTCCATGTATAATACATAAGGGGGGGATATGATCTCCATGTATAATACATAAGGGGGGGATATGATCTCCATGTATAATACATAAGGGGGGATATGATCTCCATGTATAATACATAAGGGGGATATGATCTCCATGTATAATACATAAGGGGGGGATATGATCTCCATGTGTAATACATAAGGGGGGATATGATCTCCATGTATAATACATAAGGGGGGATATGATCTCCATGTATACATAAGGGGGGATATACATAAGGGGGGATATGATCACCATGTATAATACATAAGGGGGGATATGATCTCCATGTATAATACATAAGGGGGGATATGATCTCCGTGTATAATACATAACATATGACCTCCATGGGGGGGGATATGATCTCCATGTATAATACATAAGGGGGGGATATGATCTCCATGTGTAATACATAAGGGGGGATATGATCTCCATGTGTAATACATAAGGGGGGATATGATCTCCATGTGTAATACATAAGGGGGGATATGATCTCCATGTATAATACATAAGGGGGGATATGATCTCCATGTATAATACATAAGGGGGGATATGATCACCATGTATAATACATAAGGGGGGATATGACCACCATGTATAATACATAAGGGGGGATATGATCTCCATGTATAATACATAAGGGGGGGATATGATCTCCATGTATAATACATAAGGGGGGATATGATCTCCATGTGTAATACATAAGGGGGGATATGATCACCATGTGTAATACATAAGGGGGGATATGATCTCCATGTGTAATACATAAGGGGGGGATATGATCTCCATGTATAATACATAAGGGGGGATATGATCTCCATGTATAATACATAAGGGGGGATATGATCTCCATGTATAATACATAAGGGGGATATGATCACCATGTATAATACATAAGGGGGGATATGATCTTCATGTATAAATACACTATATTGCCAAAAGTATTGGGCCAGCCCTCCAAATCATGTGATTCAGGTGTTCCAATCCCCTCCATATCATGTGATTTAGGTGTTCCAATCCCCTCCATGGACACAGGTGTCTACAATCAAGCCCCTAGGCATGCAGATGCTTCTACAAACATTGGTGAAAGAATGGGTCGCTCTCAGGAGCTCAGTGACTCCAAGCGTGGTCCCGTGATAGGTGGCCATCTGAGCAATAAGTCCATCCGTGACATTTCCTGGCTACTAAATATTCCACGCTCACTCTGGGATTATAACAAAGTGGAAGCAACTGGGAACAACAGCCACTCAGCCACCAAGTGGTAGGCCACGTCACATGACAGGGCGGGGTCAGCGCATGCTGAAGCGCACAGTGCGCAGAAGTCACCAACTGTCTGCAGAGTCAATAGCTAAAGACCTCCAAACTTTGGTGTGGCCTTCAGATGAGCCCAACAACAGTGCGTAGAGAGCTTCATGGAATGGGTTTCCATGGCCGAGCAGCTGCATCCAAGCCTCCCATCACCAAGTGCAATGCAAAGTGTCGCATGCCGTGGTGTAAAGCACGCCGCCACTGGACTCTAGAGCAGTGGAGATGAGTTCTCTGGAGTGACCAATCATGCTTCTCTGGCAATCCGATGGCCGTGTCTGGATTTGGCGGTTGCCAGGAGAACGGTACTTGCTTGACTGCATTGTGCCAAGTGTAAAGTTTGGTGGAGGGGGGATTATGGTGTGGGGTTGTTTTTCAGGGGTTGGGCTTGGCCCCCTAGTTCCAGTGAAGGGAACTCTTAAGGTGACATTTTGGACAATTTAATGCTTCAAACTTTGTGGGAAGAGTTTGGGGATGGCCCCTTCCTGTTCCAACATGAGTGCACACCAGTGCACAAAGCAAGGTCCATAAAGACATGGAGGAGCCAGTTTGGGGTGGAGGAACTTGACTGTCCTGCAGAGTCCTGACCTCAACCCCATAGAACACCTTTGGGATGAATTAGAGCGGAGACTGCGAGCCAGGCCTCCTCCCCCGACATCAGTGCCTGACCTGACAAATGTGCTTCTGGAAGAATGGTCCAACCTTCCCATAGACACCCTCCTAAACCTTGTGGACGGCCTTCCCAGAAGAGTTGAAGCTGTTATAGCTGCAAAGGGCGGGGCCAACTCAATATTGAACCCTACGGACTAAGACTGGGGGTCATTAAAGGTCATGTATGTGGAAAGGGTGGGGCCAACTCAATATTGAACCCTACAGACTAAGACTGGGGGGCCATTAAAGGTCATGTATGTGGAAAGGGCGGGGCCAACTCAATATTGAACCCTACGGACTAAGACTGGGGGGCCATTAAAGTTCATGTGTGTGGAAAGGGCGGGGCCAACTCAATATTGAACCCTACGGACTAAGCCTGGGGGGTCCATTAAAGGTCATGTGCGTGGAAAGGCCAGCCAACTCAATATTGAACCCTACGGACTAAGACTGGGGGGCCATTAAAGGTCATGTGCATGGAAAGGCCGGCCAACTCAATATTGAACCCTACGGACTAAGACTGGGGGGCCATTAAAGGTCATGTGCGTGGAAAGGGCGAGGCCAACTCAATATTGAACCCTACGGACTAAGACTGGGGGGCCATTAAAGGTCATGTGCGTATAAAGGCAGGCGGCCCAATACTTGTGGCAATATAGTATACATAGGTGGTCCATATAGTGAACTCGGTGTAAAGTTATTGACGTTCAGGTCATCACAGAAGACAAGGGAGCACTCTTTATGTCTGGAGGAAAGGAGATTTAATTTCCAAATACGGAAAGGCTTCTTCATAGTAAGAGCGGTGAAAATATTGAATAGACTTCCTCAAGAGCTGGTTCTGGCACCTCAGTAGATTAATAAAAAAGCTGGATGCATTCCTATAGTCAAAAAATATAACTGGATATTAACAGTTATAGGTGATAATGACAGGGATTGTTGATCCAGAGAATATCCAATTGCCTCCGTAGGGATCAGAAGGAATTCATTTTTTCCCCTGGTGGAGCAAACTGGACCGTGCTTTATATAGGTTTTTCTGCCTGAAGTCAGTATTTGCATAATAGAGCTTCCTACGTTTTAAGGTGACAGGAAACCAAAAGTGCATGCCGGCACCTACAGGAGACAGCTAGAACATTCCGCCGGCAAATTAAAAAATATCACTACAGGTACATTTTAAAGGGAACCTGTGCTGAGAAAAATCTCAGGGTGTCACGCCCGACCACCTGAGAATAATAACTCCCTATCAATCCCTTCTGTGTCTCTGAACTCACAACCAGTCTGGGTGGCAATGGCACTGCTTGGGCTTTCCTCTCACCTCATGTGCGTGCTTAGAGAAAGCTTCTGCGCTTGTCATCATCCGTTCTGTCTTGTCCTCCAGTTCGCCCAGCCGCTGTCCTCTTTCATCCAGGGCGAGACGAGTTCTATACAAATCAGCGGCCACTCCAGTGGCTGCTCCCTTCACTCCCTCTATCCCGCCTTGTCCGGGGATGTGCTGTGCCAAGCTGCGGGAGGCTTTTCCGGCTGAGGCTTCACCGACTGCAGGACAGAGAGGGACACATTAGAAGGACTCATTCAGCTTACAGAATGTCATACAAGGAAATCATTAATATGGGACATTGTACACTATATTTCAAAAAAGTTATGTGGACAACCTTCCAAGTCATTGCGGTCAGGTGTTTCCAGTGAGGGGTCATTGAGGCACCAGGGTCATTTGGTGCGTATGGATGGTTTGGCCAGTTTGGCCACAGAGTGTCCTCAGTCCTCAAGTACCCCTAACGGGTGGATGTGGATGTCGCTCCACTTCCTTAAACTGAACCTCTCCAAAACCGAGTTTCTTGTCTTCCCCCCAGCCCGGACACACCACCCCCCATTGACTTCTACATCACGTCCAACAACGCCACCATCAAACCCGCCCCGCAGGCCAGAGTACTTGGTGTGATTCTGGACTCCAACCTATCCTTCCAGCCCCAAGTCCAATCTTTAACAAACTCGTGCAGACTCCACCTCCGCAACATGCAGACTCCACCTCCGCAACATGCAGACTCCGCCTTCACAACATGCAGACTCCACCTCCGCAACATGCAGACTCCACCTCCGCAACATCGCCAAAATCCGCACGTTCCTAACCCCAGAAACCACTAAACAGCTCATCCACTCCCTCATCATATCACGACTCGACTACTGCAACTCCCTCCTCACTGGCCTGCCTCACCGCTGGCTATCCCCGCTTCAGTCCATCCTGAATACGGCTGCCAGACTCATTCACCTCACCAACCGCTCCATCAGCGACACCCCCCTCTGCCAATCCCTCCACTGGCCTCCACTCAGTGTCCTCCACCCCCCTCTGCCAATCCCTCCACTGGCTTCCACTCAGTGTCCTCCACCCCCCTCTGCCAATCCCTCCACTGGCTTCCGATTGCGCAACGGATCAAATTCAAAATCCTAACACTGACGTACAAAGCTGTCCACCATACTGCCCCGAACTATATCACCGACCTGATATCCAAGTACCGCCCAACACGCACACTCCGCTCCTCACAAGACCTCCTTCTCTCTAGTTCCCTGGTCTCCTCCTCCCATGCCCACCTCCAGGACTTCTCCAGGGTGTCACCCATCCTCTGGAACTCCCTGCCCCAACCCATCAGATTATCACCTACTCTCCTCTCCTTTAGGCGCACCCTGAAAACCTATCTCTTCAGGGAAGCCTACCCCACCCCCTGCTAACTTGCCGACCTCCTCCACTCTTCCTACCACCCCATCCCCCACAGCTATCTCCTCCTGTGCCACCATCCCCTCCCTCCTAGATTGTAAGCTCCAAGGAGCAGGGCCCTCGATCCCCTCATGTTTTGCATTGTATTGGTATTGTTCTGTCACATGTTCTGTCCCCCTTTGTAATGTACAGCGCTGAGCGAACTATTGGCGCTTTATAAATACTGTATAATAATAATAATAAATAATAATAACGGGTCATGTTTTCAGGACTTCTCTCACCTTGTACAGGTGCTTTAAGTCAACGTTAATGGTTTGGTGTTTATGACAGATATTTTATCTAAGGGAAATACCCTAAATATGGCCTGTTGGGGGGGCACTTGAGGATTTAGGTTGGGAAAAACACTGCCCTAGTGAATTTACCATAGAAATAATTTAGCAATTATGGAGACAGAACAGAAGAGGTCAGAACCATATCACAGCAGGACAAAGTGTGGGAAAGGACTCTACCGGACAGGGTCAGGAACAGCAGTTGTGATCAAACTTTTTAAACAATCAATAAATAATATATGGGGGGAGGTTTTATTATGCCCACAAATACGTTGTGTTTGGGTAAGAGTTACAGTCCATTTCCACAATATTCAATGTTCTCCCAATAGGCATAGTAAGAAGTCTAGTGATAGAAAATGCCACTTACAGAGTTCTTCCCTGTCGAAGGTTTGCCCGCTTCCACCAAACAGTCCTTTCAGAAATCCTCTGTTCTGAGCTTCCGGGGTCTCCACCAGCGAGAAGAGGTCCCCCAGCATTTCCTGAGTGTGAGGAACAGACACACAGCTGTGAAATCGTTCTTCTGTGTGCCGATTATATTGTTACCGCAGTCTTGGCATAGGTGCTTTTATTTCCAGTATTTTATCAAACATATACAGCGCCTTCCATTGTACACATTAGCCCCCTGAAGAACTCACAATCTAATCTCACCTCCACACTCGTAGGCCCCTTTCACACGAGCGGACCAATCATGTCCACCTGTCTGTTTTCCAAATAAAAACCTGATCAGATTGCTCCACCCCTCTCTGCCAATCCCTCCACTGATCTCCATTCAGTGTCCTCCATTCCTCTCTCTGCCAATCCCTCCACTGATCTCCATTCAGTGTCCTCCATTCCTCTCTGCCAATCCCTCCACTGATCTCCATTCAGTGTCCTCCATCCCTCTCTGCCAATCCCTCCAATGATCTCCATTCAGTGTCCTCCATTCCTCTCTGCCAATCCCTCCACTGATCTCCATTCAGTGGCCTCCACCCTCTCTGCCAATCCCTCCACTGGCCTCCATTCAGTGTCCTCCACCCTCTCTGCCAATCCCTCCACTGGTCTCCATTCAGTGTCCTCCACCCCTCTCTGCCAATCCCTCCACTGGCCTCCATTCAGTGTCCTCCATTCCTCTCCTGCCAATCCCTCCACTGGCCTCCATTCAGTGTCCCCCATTCCTCTCTGCCAATCCCTCCACTGATCTCCATTCAGTGTCCCCCCCCATTCCTCTCTGCCAATCCATCCACTGGCCTCCACTCAATGTCCTCCATCCCTCTCTGCCAATCCCTCCACTGGCCTCCACTCAATGTCCTCCATCCCTCTCTGCCAATCCCTCCACTGATCTCCATTCAGTGTCCTCCATCCCTCTCTGCCAATCCCTCCACTGGCCTCCACTCAATGTCCTCCATCCCTCTCTGCCAATCCCTCCACTGATCTCCATTCAGTGTCCTCCATTCCTCACTGCCAGTC